GATAGAATAGAAGAGAAGAATAGAGAAGAGAAGAGGAAGAGGATAGAACAGTAGAATAGAATAGAATAGAATAGAATAGAATAGAAGCTGGAAGGGACCTTGGAGGTCTTCTAGTCCAGCCCCCTTGCTCAAGCAGGAGAATCTATACCATCTCACACAAGGGGCCATACAATCTCTTCTTAAAAACCTCCATGAATTTTCTCAAGTCTGAGATGGGCAGATAAGTCTTTTCCCGGTGCTGCTAAATTTCCGGATGCGTGGAAATTTTTCTACACAGCGGAGCCGCTTAGCATACAGTCAGCAATCCCACAACAGTGGAGAAAGAGGTTATTTCGCTGTCGCTGGAATAACCCCACAAATGCCAAGCCCTTTTTGTTTTATTCCTCAGGTTCAGCCGTCAGACAACAAAGCCGCCCCTTCCAGCCTCATCAAGAAGAGGGTTTAAGCGAAGGTTTCCGGGGGTCTGCAATAAAGACCATTTTCCTTTGCCGAGCCGGTGCTTTCGGGTTCTTCTTTCCCTCCAAGGCCTTAATATTCCTTACAATGTCCACCCTGTTACTCCGGCGTTTTCTACCCCGATGTCTTCTGGATATTATTCAGACTGCAAACACTCTCTCTTACGCCGAGGATGGTTAAATTTGGTACCGATTTTTTTTTCTTCTTCTCCAGCTTTCTCTGGCTGGGCCAACCTCGGCGCTTGGCTTTGCTCCCTTGACATGGTCAGTGGCATGAAGACGGACCTGCTGTCAAGAAGGTCAGCGAAGGCCGAGTTAATTTAGGCAGGCGGAATTTTTGGAGTGTGGTCAACTGAGAGGTGGGAACGTGGGAAACTTGTGCGCAGAATAAAAAGTCTTGCCAATCTTTGCTTTGAAGGTCTTGGCTGAAAACAACTCGCTTGCAGGGTTCAGATCTCTTGTCATCCCAGCCACCCAAGAGGATCCTGAAATGAAAAGAAAACGGAGATGATGGTTTGCACAGAACTTGCTCTCCTCCCCTCCAACCCCCCCCCCACTCCATCCCATAATTGCAGAATCTTGCATCTCTCCTTCGCAGCTCAGTAAGCTGGAGCCCCTTAAAACCACAACAATTGGCTGCTCCCGGCTCACGTTGGCAAAGTTTCCCTGTTGAATCTGGGGTGAAAGGAGAGATGTGTATTGCTTCACTGGGTTGTAGGTAGGACTTCTCTACCCCTAAACTGCAGGGGACTTTCTGCTACCTCCTTTTTTGGGCAGAGCACCTGCCTCTAAATTCTTGCCTACTTGGACAATGTGCAGCTGCCACTCGGATCCCCACTGGACTGGAAAAGTAGCCATAAAGTTGACAAGGTCCATCTTTAAATGTCCTCTCCATCCCAAACGGGAGAATATACTCCAGTTGGGCTTTAGATGTTGTCCTTTCTCAAAGACCTGAGCTCCCGATATTTTCTCCGACGACATGGTTGAAATTTGGAAGCTACGTTTGACCTCCCTTTTTGCCTTGTTCAAAACCCCAGGAATCAAACTCCTCTAAAACCTGGGGCAGGAGATCCAAAAATTCCAGGTCCATCTCTCTCATGACCACCTCCCATTGTCTTCATGTCCACACTAAGCTGTTAAAAAAAGTGACATAATTCAGGGTATGATTTTTCACTTTAAAAAAATTGCCATCTTTTGTTCTATACTATTCCTTTCGAGCATTCTTGCATCTAAACCATTCCTGTAGACTATTTTAGAATTTGTTGGTTTTCTGTGATATATTTCTTATTTGCTATGGCATCAGACTTGTATAACTACCATTTTAGAGATTGTCCTGAACTTTTTTTTTAAGGTAGGATTTAAAAGAAGTATTTATTTATCGGTGTCTCGGTTGGGTGCACCAACGCTGACGGAAAACCTTGTTAGATAGGCTTCTGTCCTAATCAACCTGGATGTTTCTTAGAGTCTCACCCCAAGATAATTTCAAATCCACAATATTTCTTTTACTGCTATCCTATCTTCTCCACCCCAGACTGATAACTTCTTTCCTATTAGGAAAAAAAAAAAAAACAAGTGAAGCAGCCTTTAAGGAACATAGTTAGATTAAACCATCCTGGCAAGAAAATATCTTAATTTTTCTCAAGACCTCTCCAGGCAATTAGCGCCGGCAGAAATACAAAGCAGAATAATTAAAATGATAACTGGATGGTTTGGTTAGGATTTTTCAGACAGCCAAGGAAATGTAGAAAGCTAATGCCGACTGATTTTCTTTTCATGGAAGTGGCAAATAGTGGTGTGGGTTTTTTGGAGAGAAGGACAACAGAGTCCACCGACAAATTTGGTGGTACAGAGATGGTTCTTGGTTCTCCGTTTCTGAATTGCGTTAGTAGACTTAGTAGATCAAGTCTATTTATGGCTGTTAGATCATAAGTCCCATCATTTCAACACTGGCCTCACTTGGTGGGACCTTCAGTGACATCTGTCAGTTTGCATGTCAACCATCTCTGAGGCTTTGATGATCTATTGAGGATAGAAGTATAAGAACATGGGCGCTTCTCGAAGCATTAAAAGTTCTACCTTATCTATCAAAGAGGTGGATCCTCTCCAGAGATTACGAACAACTAGAAAGATGGGTAGTTACTGAGAGGAAAAAAAAAACCCTTGAAAAATCAGAACTTCCAAGATAAATAGATCCAGAGTTGGCCTTTAACTTCTAGCCATGAAGCGAAGGTTTGGCTCCTGCAGGGAATAAATTATTTCCTCATAAAAATTCTCTCAACTTTCTGGCTTTGCTTATGACATCTGGACGGCTGGATTCCAGCTTTTTTCATCGTTTCCTTTTATACGGTACACAGCTAATGTTTTTTTTCCCCCTAACTTTAAAACGTGTGTGCGTACAGAGGGATGGATTTATGTTCCGGCTGAGTTGTATGTAGTAAAGTGTGTGAGACAAGGAAATTGATTTCAGGAACAAGTTGTTAAGGTCCACGTTTCCAGTTCAATAAATGGATCTTTTTGCTTTAAAAAGTTGTGTGGAATTGTTTTTGTTGTTGTTGTTTTTGCCTGAAACTAGCACCTTGAATTTCTTCTCAAAATCTACACTTTATCCTTTTATTTTCATAAATACTTTATAAGCCACCTCAAACCTAAAAGATCCTAACGGCTGGGGAAAATGTTTCCTCTAGCTTTGGGGAGTCCCAACTTTTGAGATACGGTTTAGCATCCAAGAGGCTGAAACCTAACACAGCCAACTCTTGACTTAAACTGGTTGCTTTCGTGGTGTGGAGACAATAACTTGGTCCTCAACACCAATAAGACCAAGGAGCTTACAGTGGAAGATAGAAGAAACAGATCGGACATCCAGTCCTTGTTTATCAATGGAGACCAAGTGGAGCAAGTGGCCAGTTTTAAGTTTCTGGGTGTTACCATAAAAGAGGACCTGACCTGGGGTGCTCACATTGCAGGAAACAACAACTGGATGGAAAACTGCTGGTGACCTTCTACCACTGCACCATAAAGAGTATCTTAACTTACTGCACCTCTGTATGGTTTGCCAATTGCACAGTGGCAGATAGGATAGCGCTCCAGAGGGTGAATGTCATTGCCCAGAGGATCACTGGTTGCCCTCTCCCCTCTTTGGAAGAGCTTTATAGCTCCCGCTGCCTTAAGGAAGTTCAAAACATCCACAAAGATCCATCTCATCCTGGGCACCCTTTTTTTTTTGAACTGTACAGGATAATAAAAACAAGGACAAATAGGCTGAAAAACAGCTTCTATCTCAGAGCAGTAACTATATTGAATTCTACTGTATAGTGCGGTGTCGGGGGTTTTCAATTGTATAGAATGCAAAGGATGTGGTGTGTTTAATTTTTTTTAATGTATATAATGTATACTGAAGATGGTATTTAATTTCGTTGAATGAGGCGCAGTGACAATAAAGTAAAACAAACTAACTACAGTCTTAGTTGTGGCCAAAATTACCCATTGTTGGTTGTTCAGTTCTTCCCAGTTTTGTGACTTTTTTTTTGGACACGCTCGTTAGCAAATCACAGCAGTTGTTAAGTGAACCACAGAGTCTTTAAACGAATGCAGCTTCTATTAATTTTGCTTGCCGGTTGGGAAGGTCACAGATGATCTTGGGATCCTATATCCCGGTTGCCAAGCACTTAAATGTTGAGCATCAGACAGTGGGGAATGCTGCAATGGTCATAAAGATGAGGACCGGTTATAAATCCTCCCTTTTCCCCCCCAGCAAGTTCAAAAGGTTGTAAGTAAGACTAGCTGCATACATATCGAACAATCCCAGCTGATTGTTTAATTTTAGACCTGCGTCAAAATTCCCACCTTGTCTTTCCATATTTAATTTTACTCCCGTCTCTAAATTATAGACACTTGGAGCTCATCAGAAATTGCTGTCAATTTACACCTTTCAGAATTAATTGCACCCATCCCTCCTTTTTTGAATGCCGTTCCCAACACCTGAAACATCTGCAGGGCTATATATAGCCAAGCCCTCTCTTGCTTTGTCGTTGCAATTTCTGCCCATCTGTCCTTTTGTTTTTTTTCTTATTTTGGGGTGGGGGAGAAGCAGGGGGAGGCCGAGATATATTTTGGTGCCTTCCACAAGCCTGCAGTTGTGGTAACATGGCCTGGAGCAGTGGTGGCTAATCTTTTGGGGCTCCTGTGCCAAAAATTGTGCACGTACTTGCACACTCGGGCTCGCGTGCCAGCACCCAGAAGGCAATGCGGCCCCCCCATGCCCTGTAAGCATGTACACGCAATCCCCATCTACCCACCCCCTTACCTGCACTGTGTCTCACAGCTGATTTTTGGCCGGGTTGAGGCCTTTTTCGGCCTACCAGAGGCTTGAGGGAGGCTTCTGCAGGCTTTGCAGGCTGAAAAATAGCCCCGTTTCGTCACTTCCAGTATTTTCGGAAAAACAGGAAGTGATGAAACAGGGCTATTTTTCGGCCTGCAAAGCCTGCAGAAGCCTCCCTCAAGCCTCTGGGAGGCCGAAAAAGGCCTCAAACCGGCTGAAAATCAGCTGTGAGGCGCGCATATGTGCAGTGAGGTAAGTTTGCCTCCAGCTCGTGTGCCGGCACAAATGGCTCTGCATGCCAGCTGTGGCACGCATGCTATAGGTTCGCCATCACGGGCCTGGAGGGTGGGTTTTGCAAAATTTCAGTCTCCTTGGGTTCATGTAGTGACCAAGGTTACAATGGTACTGGGGAAAAAAAGTAAGCTTATGGCCATTTTTCACTCTTACGACCCTTGTACCATCCCTGCGGTGCGTGATGAAAATTCAAGGCACTTGGGCAACTGATTCATATTTATGATGGCCGCATGATCCCCTTTTGCGTCCTGATGAGCAAAGTTGATGGGGAAGCCAGATTCACTTAGCAGTCGTGTTACTAACTTAAGAACTGCAGTGATTCACTTAACCATGGCAAGAAAGGTGGTAGAATGGAGCCAGACTCACTTAACAAATGTCTCGCGTAGCAACAGAAGTTTGAGGCTCAATTGGGGTTGTAAGTCAAAGTCTATCTGTTGTTCGCTCTTAATAGAATAGAACAGAGATTGGAACGGAATAGAAATTAGAATACAAATTGGAATAGAATAGAATAGAAATTAGAATAGAATACAATAGAGTAGAAATTGGCATAGAATAGAATAGAAATTGGCATAGAATAGAAATCAGAATAGAATAGAAATTGGCATAGAATGGAATAGAAATTAGAATAGAATAGAATAGAATAGAATAGAATAGAATAGAATAGAATAGAATAGAAGCTGGAAGGGACCTTGGAGGTCTTCTAGTCCAGCCCCCTGCTCAAGCAGAACCTATAGTATTATACCATTTCAGATAAATGACTGTATGACCCTAGTTTTGAAAGAGTAAAGTCCATTCGTAATGAAAACTGCTAATTAATCAAGGCTCCGTAATTGCCGAGGAAATCAGGGAAGGCATTTTACAGGGTGGGAAAGTTAGCAGGGAGAACTTTTTCTTCTTCCCCTGCAAAATTTTTGACCTAATTAATTTAAATAGCGAGGTGGAAATCGCTTCCTCCCTCCCCCACCCCCAGTTAAAAGCCCCGGAGGAAACAAAATCTCTTAAGAGCAATATTTTAATGACTAACCTAGAATCATTTGGCGTGGAAAACCAGAAAGGGAACGATTCGGGGGAATGAAACTAGGTTTGTGACCAGACTCTTGAGAAGGAATAAAAACGGTAAGGATTTTCTTCGGCTGGGTTGATTTAAAAAAATAAAATAAACAAAAGCAAAAACCTAGAAATGCAGCACTTAGATTCATCCAAGCCAATGCACAGAACAGCACAGGAGCCATGAGAGAAAAATGCTACCAAGAGTTGCCCTTTAAATATCTCCGCCTAAAAATGCAAATTGCTACCTGAAGAGATCAGGTATTAAAATATCCAACGATTTCTTTTTTTTTACGCCCCTGGAAATTAAAGCTGGGCGCTTCGTGATTAATCAAATAATAACCAACCTGAGGTGGGGAAGGGGGTGGTTTGTCAGGAAAATATTTCTGATTAGGTGGAAATGAAAGCATCACAAAAAATATGTTCTGACCCAGGCTGAACGGACTCCTTATCCTGGAAAAAACAAACAATTTTTTATTGGGTTAATGTTAATTCCTGGCATTCACACCCAGAAAAGTCTTGGCGATAATCCTTCCCAGGTTTAAGTGCAAGACCAGACCTTATCAGTCCTTGGATAGTTGCCAGGCTGATAGCTTCCAAGCGCAATGCTGTACAAGGAAATACTTGGCAAGGAGCCACTGAGAGTCACGAACAAATCTTCACACTAATTAAACAAACTAATTGTCTCCTGCAAGCACCACTCCCTTTTCGCTCCTGTTTATTCTCTCTCTCTCTCTCTCTCCCTCTCTCTCTCTCTCTCTCTCTCTCCCCCTCTGTCTCTCTCTGTCTGTCCCTTTCTCTCTCTGTCTCTGTCTC